TTTAGGATTGGCACGCGAGCTGCGGCCGGGCAGCGGTTGCGGAGGCCGCGGTTGGGCGGCGCCAGCGGCCTTGACCTTCTCCTGGAGGGTCGCGCATAAAAAACCCTAAACCCGAAACCCTAAGCCCGAAACCCTAAGGATGCTTCATCTGAGTGCTGAGGCAAACCTCGGGTGTCCTCGGGCTTAGGACTCAGCGGCTCAGGCTCAGCGGGAGGGTGCGTGCACTTAGGGGCTTAGGGTTTAGGGTTTAGGGTTGAGGGTTGAGGGTTTAGGGTTTAGGGTTTGGGGTTTAGGGCTTAGGGGGTTTGCTTCACTTCCTCATCTTTCGGCGGAGCAAGCCGTCAACCACCAACGTGCAGAAAAACCTTGACCAAAAGAGGCCCGTTCGGCCAGCCAACTGTGAGGAACCTGTCAGCAGGTTGTGGGAGCCCGCAGCCTGGTCTCCCGAGGTTTTGGAAGAAAAAAAAAAAACATTGCAGGCGCACGGACGCTCAAACGCAAAAAGCCTGACAGCCTCGGACCTCCAAGCCGCCTGAAACCGAACTAGCCCTTAACAACCTTGCAACCACCAGGACCCGCACTGCAAAAGAAGACCAGAGGCGAGCCTGACAGGGAGCACAAGACGGGGGAGGGAAGGGCTAACAGGTGCTACAGGCTGAAAGACACAAACACATGCTACGCGCTCAAAAAACGCATCCAAAACAAAGCGGAAAATCGTTAAAAATCGTGTAAAAGATGTCGGCAAATATCGGAAATCATTGCTAAACAGGCGAAGTGCTGTTCCTTTTTCCCGCACGAGTCGAAACCATTTCTTGTTGCGCCTTATGGGAAAGGAAGAGCCGACGCGGCCGACACCAGTGCGCCTTAGCGCAACTGGCAACGATGGCACGCGTCTGGACAGTCTACTCAGGCGAGCGAACTCCTTTGTTTAACTCTGTTTGCGCAAGTTTCTGCCGATCCGAGAAGCAGCAAAGATGGAGCTATAGCCCGCTTCAGCGATGCTCTGGCCTCGATGCCAGAAACAGTTCCAACATGAAGGCAATGAAGGTCATGAAGGCCACGAAGGCGATGAAGGCTATGTAGGTTTTTCTGATGCTGCCTCGACATGTTGCTGGTGAGGGCCGCTATGGAGGGCGAAACTTTCGCAAAAAACCCTGTTTGAGTCATGTGTGTGAAGCCCGTCCAGATGTGTCACTCTGCTCGTCCGTGCCTCCGTCCGCAACAAAAGAAAGAAATAGAAATAGCTGCAACAACTAATCGTCGCTCTTCGCAATGGCCGCTTGAAGCGGGTTCGCGAGAGCTTCTGGCTGCAGGAGCTCTTGCTGGAACCCCGCGGCCCGGACGTGCGGATGGGCATCGGCGACCTTCGCGCGAGGCGTCCCTGGGTGGATGCGACGCTGCGGTTGCAGCTTCCTTTTTCTTGAAAGTCAAGCTGCAGGTGGAGGTGCTGCGGCCGGCTGAGGAGGTTGAGGTCCCAGTGGAGCGCCCTGATGATGAGCCTGCACATGGCGCCGTTGAGGCCAGTGCGTGGCCAGCATTGTCGAGGACGCGCGCGCCTCATTCGAACGCCGCCTGGACACCGCGTGCTTAAAGGGGTCGAGACAAAGTTCATTGGGCGCATGTTCCGCGTGATCGTGCTTTCTGGCCCGTGCGGCGGGATGGCGCAGCTGCCGCCGGCGCCCTTCGCTGCCAGAGGGGGCTGTCGACCAAGGCCCGCGGAGTGCTTTGCCTGCCCACCAGGAGCGCTGCGGACCGACCTGGCGTGGTGTTAGCTCTCCTGGGCAAGAGCGCGGCGGAGGGGCTTAACGACCGGCTGCAGGCCGACCTGCGTGAAGGACCCCTCCGATGGAAACGCCGCCGCAGTGGTGGACATCCAAACGGGACCCTTGGATTGCGGAGCATCCAGAGATGCTTCTGCTTTGGCATCGAGACCGAATGAATGGAAACATATAAAAAATGAATCCGGAGCTCTCGTCTGCATGCGAGGCCGTCCTAGAGCGACCCTCCGAGTCAAACGTCGTCCGGCTGCTGGATGTGTGGTCCACACAATGGAAGCATCAGGGGCGCCAGCGGGGCATCGGCGCGGGGTCACTGCGCCCTGGGACTGTATGCTCACGGGAGGCAATTCCCCAGCCATTTCGAAAGCATTCGACATGAAACGAGCATGCATCGCACTGAACCACTTCCTGCGCGAGCGGTTTCCCAAATGGCAAGAAGCTGCAGGCGCGCGTGGAGGCGGTCGAGAACAAGGGAAAGAAGCGGGGCGATCGCAAAAACACGCCTGGCCGAGGACTTCGGCGTGCAGGGGGCGCGGAAGCTGTATCAACGGCGGGAGTTCCCGAGAACCGCGACCTGACCTTCCAGAGGGCGCGCACGGCGCTGGCGCAGGACGTGGCGAGGCGGGTGCTGGCCAAGCCACGGCCCCGCGCAAAGAGCGCGGCCAAGGGCCCAACAGGCCGACCTGATCGACTTAAGTCAAAACAACAGGAGCAGGAACAAGCGCGGGCTGGTCGTCTTCACCAGAGCGTGGCGACCACGGACGAGGGGCGAGTTTGGGCAGAAGCAGGCGCTCCCGAGGGGGCGGTGCGCCGCATCAAGCGTTCAGACGGTGCACGCGGCGCCCGACAATGTGGAGCAAGCCGGCCACGTACTTCCGCGTGCTCCAGGACAATGCCGCGAAGTTCCAGCGCAACAGGAAGCTGACAGAGGCCGGCAACGGCGGCTGCGGCACTTCAGGGCCCGGCAAGGAGCCTCCAGCTCCAGTACGGGCCGGCGAAGCGGCTGGAAAGCCACGACTCCATGACGGACGCCACGGCTGCTGACGCAGCCGGTGCCCCAGGAGCGGAGAGCCCGTCCAAAGGCTCTAGCCAGGCCGCAGGCTGTGCGGCAGCTGCGGGCGGGACTTCAACGCGGCGCCGAAGGCAGCTTCCAGGAGTCTGGCAATCAGGCAGCTGCGCGACTTCAACGCGGCTCGCTGCTGGAGTGACAAAAAACGGGCTTTTTCACGTGTTACGAAACGAATTCAAAGGAGCGTCAGGGCAACGTGGGGCCGCCTCTCTCACGTTTGTGCGTGCGGCGTTTTTTCAGTCCGCGAAAAGGCTCGGCCTGCGCCGGTCCCGGCTCCCGCAACATGACGTCCGTGGCCTCCAGCAAGCAGCAGGCCGCGCTGCTGGTTCATGATCCAGACCCGCAGGGCGCACCTTGACCTCACGCTGCCAAGTTGCCCGGCTTCAGTGGCCGCCGCTCGGCGTCCCAGAAGCGCGCCTGTGCTCAGGCAGAGGTTCACTCCTTGGCGCCAAAGCTGGTAGAGTGCCTGCAGCCAGTCGGGACTGCAGTAAATGCCTCCCTCTGCTAACTTTCCTGTTTCGTTCTTGGGGGTTCGGTGTTGGGGGTCCCACCACTGTGGTCACCGCTTCGTGTCCAAGAGCGATGCCAAGCTCAGCAAACACCAACTGCTATGTGAGGGAAGAGGGCAGTGCGTGGCTATCATGCTTCATGGTTCGTGCGCTGAAGCTCCCCCTAAGCATGCTTGAAACTCGTGTAACTTGTAAAGAACAGGTGCCAAATCCTGTGGCACACGGAAAACTTTGTTGAGCTGCCGAGTAGCCTGAAAGAACATTGACGAAGTCACGAGTCTGTGTCTCTCTGGAAAAAAGTGATGTAGCATCGTCAGAAAAAATTGGGAAAACCAATTTCGGCTTTCGGTGCATAGTGCAGCAGTGCATAAAAGTGCATAACATAGATGGTCCACCTCTTTGCCTCTTTCTTTTGGAAAACATGTCAGAGACTAACGGGACAGGCCGGGACGGGGGCACTTCTGCCTCGCCTTTACGATTTGCGACTGCCCTTTGTTGCGAGTCGAAGGTTGGGCTTCTAAATCTGAGTTTGCTTTGTCTAGTTTCCTTGTGTTCGATGATGTGGGCGAGAAAATGTGCTGTATTGTTTGAAATCTATGCAGTTATTGCAAACGTGTTTTCCTTCGGTCCTTCGGTCAGTGTCTAGTGCACAGCTTTCTAGTCTGCTCTATTTCAGTCCCAGCCAACAAAGTTATTCTTGTTGCCTTTTCGAATGTTCACATGCCGCAAAATGGCTGCAGAAGGAAATGCCAAGGCAGGCCCAGCAGGATTAGACTACTTTGGTAACTTTAGGGCGCTTTGGCTTTGGATTTAGGTTTGTGCTGGGAGCAAGGATATTATCAGGATTTCCGAGGGGCAAAATTTCAGATTCCAACGGCAACTAGGGGGCGGGGGAAGGAAGAAGTGATCAATCAGATGTTTCCGATGAAGCTAGCCATCAATTTTGAGCTAGGTACTTTCCATGTCTTGGGTCCCAGGAGTCCTTGGCCCTTGGACTTGCTGTCAAAATTCGAAGTTCAAGAAGGCTTGCGATTTTTCTGATACACTTCAAGTTTGAAAGGTCCGACGGAGAATCGCGGGGTTGGCATGATGGGAGATTCCCAGGGCACACTCAGAATTCCGAATGCCATGGCTGCTTGCGAGCCTGCCGGATGTTGAAGGTTCCACTGAAGTCCACTGCATGACTCCAGACTCCTGTCATTGCGTTACTGCATGTTTTTTTTGCGAGAGTTTTTTTGATCGGACGGCTTTGGGGCATTGCCGCTGCCCACTTGTTGCACAAGAAGCAATGCAAAATTGAGCCTGAATGTTGCAGACAACATCGTGTAGTGTATGAAGTTACGACGTTACCATGCAACGGTGCAATAGTAACAGGACAGGCATCGCGAGTAGGTGCCCGAATTTCGCAGGTAAACCCCACAAGGCCCCAGAAGTTCAGAAGGCCAGCACACTCAAGATACACAAGCCCCCCCCAATTTGGACCCCCTATGCCAGGCAGCAACCAGTTTGTGTTTGTGGGAACAGGACATGCGTTTCTTGATGGTCTTTTGTTGCTGGCTGGCAACGCACGGCCAGAAACAGTCATGGGGCAATTCCCTCTCGGGCCGGTATTCTACGGATTGGAATGGCTGCTCTTTGCAATGCATGAGTGACGCTGAAGCAGCCTTGTTCCGACAGGATCCCTGGGCACATGACCTGAAGCATGATCAAATTGTGGGTGTCGCGTTATTGGATGTTGGTTTTCGCTACCACGCTTTAGCAGTCCTGGACCAGGGTCAGCGGGATCAGTATAATTTCTGGCAAGCAGTGTTCGGCACAGATTGTTTGCACGCGGGAGGGCTTTACTACTTCAAGGTGGAGCAGGTCCTGCCTTTCGCAAAGCCCACGGAACTGCCAGTCACAGACCGTCGCAAGCTGAAGTCGTTCTTCTCAAAGTTGGATCTTTTTTCTCCTGAAGATCTTGTAAAGCAACTGTCGCAAGATTTTGGGGTTCCTCTGCCGGAATGGGTTGATTCTGATTGTCACTTGGTTGTGCGTCTTCCCGGAGCTCATAGTTTTTTTCTTGCGAGAAAACATTGGTCCTATTTTGCCTTGCCAGATCCTTCCCCGGAGCACTTGTTTTCAGTGGGTGTTCGTCACAGATCCAGAGTCATTGGCTGGTCTCATCTTCCCGACTTGGCCAATCAGTTTGTTGTGCCACGGCAGGTGCAGAATTTCGCAGAACCACGATTGTCTGCAAGTATGGCTGAAGAAATTGCTGACACGATTAGGCAGATGGCTTTGCGACTCAACCCGAACTCTGAGCAGGATGCTTCTTTGCTAGATTCATGCTATCGGGCCGCGTACATGATGCAGCGTATGCGCGATGAGCTTGATGTCAATCATTTGAACAGCAGGGTGCTGCAGTCGCAAGGCCGGGTTTGCACACCGCGACTACCTTTTCAAGCTACGTACATTATACAATGTATGTTGATGGGCAGTCACTTGAGAGATGTTGCAGACTTGAAGCAGGTCCTGCTCAAGGCAGTGGAAATTGCGCTTCCCAAGGTGTTTGCAGAAGCTGTGTTGGCAACTGTTAATGGTGATGCTCATGGTTTGGGCCTGCGGGTGCCTAGTGCCACCAAGGTATCCCGAGCAAGGCTCAGTGTCGATGTTGCATTGATGCTGCACCGGCGTTCTGTGAATGCAAGGGCTGATGAAGAAGGCGGTGTTGTGAGATATGTCATGGTGGATTCGTCAGTTCAGGGTCATTACGACTTTGAGTTCATCAGAGTTTCATCCATGTTGAGATCGAATTGCAAAGATATGTTTCTCCATGTTCTTGGAGTCACAGAACCTATGGAGCAGTTATCTCGATGCTCCGGACGATGACGTTTTGGCACGGACAGCTTTGAGAGAGGTCGAGCTGCAGGCAGAGATGGACTGTTGCATGGACACACATTTGCTCCCCGCGGTTGTGCTGGGAAGTGGACATGCGAAGTTGTACCATAAGTTTCATGCTGCTGCTCATTGCTTTTTCTTGGAGACAGGAAGTGCCTTGGGCCTCGCGAAATTTGCAGACTCCATCTTTTCATTTACCACGGATCAAGGTGCCGAGATTGGACTGCACAAGGTGCCTCCTGTACTGGTCAGGAACATTCTGCCTTGGGTGACGTATCAGGCCGAGGGTGGGGATGAGCATGACTTGGCACCGCCCCTCGCAAACCAGGCAGATCTTGAAGCTACGATCGATTTCAGGAACTCCGTGGGTGTTGCAGGGCTTATGCACATCATACACAATTCCACTGTTGACTTGGGCAGATCCATGTTGACGTTCGATGCCACTGTGAAGCAGCTGACGCATGTTTCCAAATTCTTATGCCGCAGAGAGTCCAAGTAGCGACTCCTGGAATCTTGCTTTTCAGGCAGGATAGGCCGGCACCTTCAAGCTGAAATCAAGTCCTTCCAAGCCAAACTCAATCCAAGTCGGTGGGGCAGCCTTGCACACTGTGTTGTCGAGCTGTTGCAGATTGAAGCTAGTCTTCGGTATGGTTGGAACTTGAACAGATATGGGAACCAGCGGGCCAACCAAAACGACGAGGGTGGGTATGGTGTGGATCTTGCTATCGTGGATTCTGCACTAACGTCTCCAGAGTTCTGGGCCACTTTGAGGATGTTGCGTTACCTAGCCCAGGTAATCAAGTCGTGTTTGCATTGGGCAGAAACTTGTCCATGCCATGGCAAACTTCCCCACAAAGACTTTCCTGCAAAGGTAAAGGATGTCTGGGCCCACTGTCCTTTGAGAGGTTGCAGGGCCCCGGAGCTGGCAGCCCTGGAGTTTCACAACCTTGTGCGGGAATTGAACAACACCAGTGCTGCAGAGCTTTTGAGCAATCTCCCCAGAGACATCAGCCCAGCATCTCGTGCAACCATCCTGCAGGAGTTTGAGCGTGGACGTGCGCACCTTGTGTTTGTCCTCAACCTGAGGCTGGATCATTGGAGGCACCCGCCCTACTGTGTCTTCGGGTGTGCCCATTTGTTACCGGCGGTCTCCAAACGATTTCTCAGGAGGTGCCTTGACATGCCACGAAGTTCCCAACTGCTGGCCGAGTTACAGCAGTCACCAGTGAGGGAGCAAGCAGAGCAGTACTTGGAGGGTGCTGACATTGAAGGCTTGCCGGACCTTTTGCATTTCTTGGGCAAGCTGCGATATTGCCCGACCGCAGAGCGAGCAGTGGAAGGCGACCATGCGCAGGCGGGCTCGGAAAGTGTTTCGGTTTTGCATGGTGCAATTGGCAGTCGTGGTTTGGGTGTACTGTACGGTTGAAAGCACGGTTTTCAATGGTCAAGGTGTGCGCAATAAGAAGGGGAGGGAGCAAGCAAGAAGAAGGGTGGTGAGGATAGGGGAATGTCAGAACTAGAAGGACAGAGTATGTGCAAGGTCCAGGCCGGGTTTCAAAATCACATTAAGTTCTTATGCTGCTGACATGATTTCGAGCTTCATGCTGGTTCACATCAACCCCTGCAGATACACAAAAAGATCGCCCTGGCCCGGAATCACACTCCAGCCTATGTAAGCTTGGGTCGGAGAATGAACTATCTGCGAAGTGCCACAGCCGACAATCCACAGATGCTGATGAAACTGGCTTCGTTTTATGATTCAGTGCACAGTCCCGCGAGGGCTCTCAGTGCTTTGGGCTTGCAGAACCATCCGTCCACAGCCCATATTGCCCATTATCGAGATCCAATGCACATGAAAATAGTCTACCATGCCGATCCACGAACCATGTACCAGAGAGAGCAGTCCTGGCCAGATGTTGCACCCCCACGACCTCCCGACAATCCCTTGCTACCTTTGCCGCGGCCGGATATGTCGGACGGCTCCGGTTCAGGGCAGCCAGCGGTGCTTGGTCCTCCAGGATCGGGTCTGGGTGGGGCCGGTGGGGCCTCCGATGGGGCCGGCGGTGGAGGTGGAGGTGCTGCCAGTGCTGCTCCGTCTGCGGAAGCACCGGCACCAGCAGCATCTGCAGATCCCGGGTCTCAAGCTTCATGCAGTTCTTCACAGGTGGGTCGACGGGTAAGAGGCAAGAAGGCGCAGGCTGGACAGCTTGCGTGTGGCTCCGCTGCGGAGGCAGCGCTGCTACTGCATCTTGAGCATGGCAGCCAACTTAGTCACAGTGCTGCCTCGGATGAGATCTTGAAGAAATACGCCTTGCTCAGCATAGCACCTCTCTTGGAAGATGCGCACGGGGGGTCTGCTTGTGATGCTGTGTTCTCCATGCCGTTTTCAGAAGCCGCTCTGAGCAGTTTGCGTTGGACTGCGCAAAGTCATTTGCCAGAAGATCCGGAGCCTGTCTTGGACTGGAATTCCTTCACTCTTGCAGGACATGTGTTTTTGCAGGTCGTGCGAAAGGCCGTTGGAGATGTTCGCGTGCCCAGAAGCACCGGCATGCAGAAGTCTGATTGGGCCGTTTCCTTTCTGAGGGTGAACTCTTTCAAGAAGACAAGTCATGATCAGTACCGTGTGTTTGTGGATTCCAGCCCTGTCAGCCTGCAATCGATGGATGCAGATGCCGCTGATGCCGCTGCAACTCCAGTTGTTCTCAGCTTGGAGGCTCTACCTTTGGACAGCTTGTTGCGAATGCGTAGATGGGACCACACCAGTGATTTGTTCTACCACATGAGGTTGCCAGATGATGATGGCACTGCCCTCAGCAACCTTGAAGACCAAGAGGCGATTCGAACGTCTTTGCTGCACGATCTGCTTGCAGCTGGTCCGTATGTTGTTGCAAGTAACGATCCTTTGCACAGTGGCAAATCGGATCTTTTGCAGAAGCTGGAAAGCCTGGGCCTTGCAACTCGAGACGTGGAAGGTGGCTGGGTTTTGACGCAGCAGGGCCATCGGCATGTTCAGGTGTCGACTGCTTTGCAGAGCAACGACAGGGTTTTCAAAGCTCGAGATGTGCCCTTTGAGGAAATGGAAATCATAGAGCTGCTTCTTTCGCTCCGAGAGAAGGGCTGGGAGCATCAGAGCGTTGAATCTAGGAAGTCTTTGGCAGATGGAGCCAGTTATACGCATGGAAGCTCTCCGAAGATATGGTATTATCTTGCTAGTCAGGTGACCCTGTGCCGAGAGTATCTCATCTGCTTGCTCACTGCAGATCAGCTTGACCAGCCTGTGCCACACTTGCAGACCACAGCCGTCTATGCAAAGCTTTTGGGGAAGCCTGAGCGCAAGCAGCCTCAGCGGCGACAGGCTGCCATCATGTTCATGGAGGACGAGGATGTCTGGGTGAGCGAGGCTGCTCTGGTTCCCCGGCCTGAACCCAGGAAACGGGTTAAGCGTAGCCATGCAAAAAAGGGCCTTCAATTGGAAGACGCTGCCGACTTCGAATGCCAAGATGAGGCCGAGGCGGAAGTGCACGAGGCCGAGGCGGCCGTGGGTGACGAGGCCGAGGCACTGGAGCAACTCGACGCTGAGCTTGATGCTAGAGAGAAAGATGCTGTCGCTGAGTGTGGGGACGACATCCAGGATGAGGCCGGGGCAGCTGGCAAAGCGGCCTCGAGCTCGTCTTCCTCTTCTTCTTCATCTTCTAGCAGCGAGGCCGAACCTTCGTCATCGTCCTCAAGCTCGGGCTCTGATAGTGGTTCTGAGCCAGCAGCAAGGCGGGCTGCGGGCAAAGCCAAGCCAAGGGCAAAGGGTGCTACAAGACGGTCCGATGTTGCTGTCATGTATGGCCAGTGCAGAATTACTCCGACAAAGACCGGATTTCAGATGACGTGCAAGCATCCCAAGCATGAAGGAGAAACTGCCAGCTGCACAAAAACTCGCAGCTCCAACATCGATGGGCCGGATGTCACTTTGCGAATGCTGAAATACTGGGCACAGTTAGGCAGAAAGTCGCCTAGCAAGGCAGACCACCAGGGCAAGGTGTGGAAGGTGGTGCTGAAAGCTTTGAAAGATGGCACTTTGCCATCCATGGAGCAACTCGACTCCAAGCCAGTGAATTCTTTCCGTTGATGCACATGGGTTCCTCCTGAGAATTCCTCCGGTCTTGCAGTCGCAAGCGTGCTTCCAAGTTGCGCCTGGGCGTGTGTCCACAGAATGAGGCCGGCCGATGTGCTTCGCCCCATGCTATCGCAGCATGGTGCAAAATGCGCTTGAACACCATAGCTTGCTGTCGCTCTTTCAATGCCTGCGTGACCAAACTTGTGTTGTGACTAGCATCCGCGTGAAAAGGCTTCAGTGTCGCTGCGCTTTGTTCCAGGTACCAGAGAAAGAGAGTGAGAGCGAGAGTTTGGCTGTTCACTTGTGCAGTGTGTTGCAGTCATGACGTGTCTTGTCAAACTTTGGCGGCAAACCCTTTGCTGTCCAGCTGTGGCATGTGGCGACCCCTGAATTCCTGAATAGATCGAAATACAATAAATGGTCTGCCGGTCTGGCATTTTTATGAATACGCCCGTTGAAGCTCCGAGCTTGCTGCGGGAAATGATTTTGCTTGCCGGGGGTGCTGGGGCGGGCTTGTGGGGCTTGGGGGCTCCGGTGACGGGCTGGGAGGCTTCCGGGGGGTCACTGGGCCGGACCCCCTCCAAACCCTCGAAACCCTCGAAACCCTCGAAATTCCTAGGCCTTCCCCTCGAAATTTCCTTGGGTCCTCGAAATTTCCTTGGGCCCTCGAAATTGCCCGTGGCCCCCCCCCTCTTACTGGCCTCTTACACTTCCTCGAAATTTTGCGGGTTCCTCGAAATTCCGGTGGTTCCTCGAAATTTGCCGGGGGCCCTCGAAACCCTCGAAATTGCTCGAAATTGCTTGCTGTCCCCTGGCCCAAATCGGCCGGCCAAAGCTCACTCCACGACTTGGTCGTCACAGGCCGCCCCCGGAACCAAACACTGAGGCTTGAGGCTCCGTAGCCTCCACACACAGCGAAATGATTGCCGCAACAAGTTGTGGTTGCGTTCAAGCTGCCGTTGTCGTGACATGAACAAAACCTTGCAACTGCAGCAACAGAGAGTCACGCAGAGTGCACCATGTCATGACCAGCGCTGCATGAATGGTTTTGTTGTTCGATTCCTGCGGAATGCAGTATGTGTGAGCACTTGCTGTTAGATGAGTTTTTGTACCATGCTTCAAGCAAACGGTTGACAAGCTAGGACGATTTTGTTTGTGGGGCTGTTGTTGTTCAGTGGATGCTGGAAGCGTTTCTCAATAAAGTGTTTTTTGTGAGGGACACCCTGTGCAGGAGCAAGATTTTCAGTGAAGCGAGGAGAAACTGATTCCTGGGAGTATGGTCTTGTTACTCACGATCTTTCTGACTTATCGTTTGTGCAAAGGACAGCCCAAACTTCAATATGAAAGAAGGCGGGTGCGTTTTGCGTGCGGCAGGTGGGGTGTGGCATGTGGTATGTTTGGAAGCCAAGTTTGGGGAAGTTTGTGTTAAGTGAGATTGAACTGGAGCCAATGTAGAATGTAGATGAGAAGCTCAGGTCCGGTAGACAGCACACTCACAAGATTGGCGACTGTCGAGGTCTTGTCAAGTTTTGTGAATTTGTGAACTTGTCAGGGTGGGGCAAGCGGTGCGGCGGAATTTCGGAAATGGGTGGGAGCAGATATGGAGTCATGGAGTCTTTGAAGTAGGCTCTGCAGCACATTGACTCCATCCTGGGGAATACAACAGGGAAACAATGCAACAAGACGAGTGCCCATTGAAACTAGTAAAATGAAGCCCACCTATTGTGACGCTGGTGAGACTGTGCATGATGAAGTTATCCGTTTGCAGAAAAGACATGGCAGCCACAAACAGTCACAAGAATATTTTCGCGGCAGGTTTTTATTGCTGTGTCGTCCTGTGAGCATGCCGTCCTGCGTGCCTCGTGTGTCTGCGAACACTGAGACCGGTTGCACGTTTGGCTCCTTTCAAACAAATGCTCAGGTTTATCTTAGCCAGCGAGTTCAAAGAAGCTGAACGAGGAAGGAGCCAAAGCATCTGGGCTGAAGCAATATGCCAATACGAACAGAACTTCAGCGTTAGCCTCGCAGTCTCAACTCGCTCTCATGCGTTCGCAGTAAGCAAAACGTGGGACATCCTAGACAAGAGACGCTGCCTTGGAGTCTTCCAACAGCAAGAGGTAGGGCAGGGCATGGCTGCTAACAAGCCGGGTCCGGTGTCGGTTGCCGAGCTAGGGAGCTGGCCTTTGTCTGTGCTGAAGAATCTCCTGTGTGCAGGGGATGGCAATGATGGGGAGCGTTTGAGTCGCTTGCGAGCAATCTTGCGGGATGGAATGTGTGTTTATTCGGATTACAGTGGCCTGGCCGGTGAGTATGAGATCTGGACACAGATGCGTGAAGCTTTAGCTGTTTGCTTCAGAACATGCAGTGGATGATTTTCAGGACGTTTCAATTCAGCATGCTCGCTTTTGTGACATTGGCAGTTTGCAGCAGACCGTTCTCTCACACATCAGTGCAATGTGCGGGAACCGTACATGTGTCTTTTCAGATATCAATGACAGATTGCCAGCCACAGCCGTGATGATGCTAGATTCTATGCTGCCGAATTCAAAGATGAGTCGCGAGGACACTGCCCGAGCCTATGCAGACATGTTGGCTTGGCTTCAGGACAATCGCTCCTGGGTGTTTCCTGCAGGAGCGACAAGTCATTGCCTTGTTCACGAGAAGCAGTGTGCTGCGTTTCCGTGTGTAGATGAGTCGGAAGGCCCGGCCCTGCAGCCAGAAGGTGAGGTCCCAGAACCTTCCCAGAAACGGTTGCGAAGGCGGCTGTTTCAGTCAGACTCTGAGTCCGCGCCAGTGCCAAGGAAGAAGCTGTTGGTTAACATGGCTGGAACTACGTGCTGTGGTTGGAGCTCAGTTGGAAAGGGCTTGCATTTTGCAGACCCGAGCGAAAGGCCGCATGCGATCTGGGTCACGGAGAGACGCCGGCGTGCAGAGATGGACCTGGAGGATGTCGTCTTCAGCGAGTGCACTACTCGCTACCCCGTCCAGGCGGGTTGTGTGTTTGTGTCTGTGTGTGTGTGTGTGAGCCTGCGTGTCTGTGTCTCTGTGTGTGTGTGTGTGGGTGTGTGTGTGTGTGTGGGTGTGTGTGTGTGTCTTGTCTGCGGGTGTGTGTGTGGGGGCTGCGAAAACCATCCCAACTCCAACATCTGCTTCCTGTAGACTGATGCAGACTACGTTGTGACTTTAAGCGTAGAGGGTAAAGTTAGGTTGCCTTTGGGAATCAGGTCAGGGAACATGGAGTCGAATTGAAGTGTGAGTGAATCACTAGTCACTAGTGCGTCAAAGGACCATAGACGTAGGTGGGTTTTGTGTGGCAGTCCTGGCCCTAGCACTCGTGGTCTCCACGTTGCCTCTGCCTAGAAAAGTTACAGCTGAAACCATCAACGTGTCTGGTCGTGGTTCGTCTGGGGTATACAGATCCTCCAGCCCCCACCTTGTCAGGAGAAGCTCGGCGTCCTGCAAGAGACTCATGAGATCCTCAGCATAGTGATCAACCCGATGGCCCTAGGCTGGCCAGTGAGACGGAATCGCCTGTTTGCGTGCGCCTTGAATCGGCAGAGCGTGGCATGGATGGGGCCAGGGCAGGAAGACTTGCTACCACACTTCCTCAAGTTCTGTGGGGCAGACCTCATGCTCACTGGAGATGTGTTTCTGGTAGCACCGATGTCCGAGGTGTGTGAAGCCGAGAATGCTATGGCATCGCGAAGGGGCTTCCGTGTTGCAGGAACAGATCGGGTGTTGAGCATGAGCCAAATCTATGCGCCCGGGATGTTGAATCGCTACCATGGCTACGAGGAAGCCCGTGCTGCTCTTCTTGAATCTGGTGAGGTAAGTGGGGAGTCTTGGTTCGCGGACCTGGACCAGACCCTGGGTGCAGGAACCAGCACCCCCGGGCAGGTGCTGCCCTCGGCCTTGACCCACTTCACAATCCATTCCTGGGCTGCGAAGAGGATGGTGCTGAACAAGGAAGTGTACTTGGCTCATGGATACAACACATATCCAGAGGCCACCCGCTGGCCCATCCCTTTCCAGGCTCAGGATCATGTGCTGTCGCTGTCCAGCAGTTCCCAGAAACAGCTGGTTGGCAATGGGTGGCATTTGCCAACTATGGCTTCTTGGATTTTCTACGTGTTGGCGCACACAGTCAAGATCAACAGGGAAGCGAGCATTGAACCAGAGAAGACCCTGCTTCGGCGAGGCGGCTCAAGTCTTGGAGGCCTGACTCGTGGAAGGTCCAGCCTCTCTCTGGGCAGCCCATCAGACGTTTGCGATTCACAAGAGACTTTGAGTCTTGGGGCCGACTGTTAGCCGGTTGCTGGTGAGCTGCTGGTGGCAATTTTGACCAGGCTGCCACTTCGTCTTTTGTGCTTGAAGGCTTGCAGGCTGCTCCGAACCAGGAACTGCTCGCTGCATGCCGTTTTGGTAGCACAGCCCGTAGATTGCAAGCAGTGTGGTTGGGAGGACAAGACGAGATAGGTGGAGGTTGCTAAAGCTGTCTTTGAGTGTTTATGCTTTTGTCCTCAAGCCCAGTACTTTGAGACGACATCTTGAGATTCGCTTTGGCCGCTGAAGGAAAGAGCTGCCAGTGTCGTTCAGCAGAGCTTGGGAACACTTGATCACAAGCCGGAGGCAATGATGGCATGCATGTTGTGATGAACAAGTGATGGACATTCGAACCATCGCGTGTAACTTGTTTGCAGATGCGAGTGCGCTTGATAACTGCAAGTTCTTCTCCAGGAGCAGTGTCGTTGAGTTGCATGATGAAAAGCCAGCCTTTGCTCGCGACCTGAGGCCGCCTTGTCTCAATCACATTGCCCCATCCTGTATGTTGCATGCAAGTACACTAGTCAGAGAATTTGCTCTACATCCAGACTGCATTTGCGGAATGTGCATTGTACATGTGCCGTGTGGGTGTGCATGCTTCTCTGTGCTTGAACAAGGCAACCATCTTACTAGGTGACTTAGTTACTCTGGGGCACGGCGAAGTTCGTATCCAGCTTGCTGGACAACTTCCAGCATCAGAGGCCTGTAGAGCTTCGCAATGGACCTAGACGATGACTTTGCGTTTGCAGATGCACCGGACATTGTCAAGCAGATGGAAGAGGCCAAGAAGAAGGACGCCACGACAGCGAGGCCTAAGAGGAAAGCCGGCGGGAAGAAGCCTGAGATGAAAACATGCTTCGTGAATGGTTGCTCCCTCGCTTGCCAGAAAAGCAAGCGATGGTGCGAGGACCACAACAAGAAGTACGACAACATGTACTACCAGGCCAAGAGAGATGGGGAGATAAGCACGCTGGAGGCAGCCGTGAAGGACTCGGTGAGTGCTCAGAAGGCAATGGAACTCTTTGAAGAAGACAACCCGAGCGATGGCAAGTGGCGGAGGAAGGTTCTCATTCAATGGACAAAGTGGAAGAGAATCTTTGTCTACAGCGTCATTCAGCGAAATCGTGATGGATGCAAGCCTTTCGAGTATGGACAATGGTTGATCCATTGTTCTTCCGTCATGGGATGGAGCAAGGACGCCGCCAAGGACGAGTGGGAGAAGCACGAGAAGGACGCATCGTTGAAGAGAGACAAGAAAGGCTTGAACGGATGTGACCGCATCTGGATCCCTGTCATCGAGGAGGAGCACCGCGATCGAGACAAAGCCCGCAGCAGCATTCTTGAGGAAAGCAGTGCTGCGGAGAAAGACCTCAGCAAAGAGGATCGAAGTGTGCTGGTGAAACATGTGAAAAGCAACCTTCGTGCTGGTGATCATCAAGGCTTCTTCAAAGACGGTGAGGCGGACAGCGAGGAGGACCAGGACATGCCCCTGGCCACCCCAAAGAAAAGGCCGGCCGAGGATGACAAGGACAAGGAGACCCCTGCTGAGAAGAAGGCCCGCGTCAAGTACGAGAGGCTTTCTAAGGGGCCGTTTTTCTTGGCGTTCAAGACTGCAGCAAGCGAGAAGATCAAAGAGAAGCTGGCGTCAGTCTCCACGATGGCAGCGACTACAAAGGGCAAGCTGGATGAGGCGTACACCCAGGTGGAAGCAGCCAGAGCTGCTGCGGCTGCGTCTGATCCTGTTCTTGAATCTTACGCTTCGTGTGTGTCTGCTTGCCGGGAGGTGTTGACGACTTGGGAGACAGAGGTCTCCATCCCCGACACCCTGACCGAGGCGTGCGCGAAGGAAGTGCACAATGTCCGGGAGTCCCTGGCGTCATCGGTGCGTTCTGTTGGTCAGGACATCAAGCTTGTGAAGGGCGACAGTGTCCTCGAGCCGAAGGCTTACTTCAATCTGCACGCCGTTGACATCCTGAAGTACCACAGTGCGCTGGAAGCATCTGAGAAGCAGAAGGAGCTGCTGAAGGTCAGCTTTCCGGTGGTCGAGCTGTTCTTCAAGAGCATCATGAAGATCTCTACGGATGTTGGGAACTACTTGAAGCAGAAGGAGAGCAGCAGAGCACGTGCCGAGCAAAAAAGAAGAGGCAGGCAGACCAAGCTGAGCTGGACAAGGTGAAGGAGGTAGCCAAGTCAGCAGCTGCCAAGGCCAGGCTGTTCAACAAGCAGACGCACAACATCTTCGGAATCAAAGAGGACCTGTGGCATTCCTTTCACAAGCCGGGCGCAAGCTTTGATGTGGACGACTACCTCGACCGTCCTTGGGTCCTGAAGGCCAGCGAGACTGCAAAAACATGGAGGAACAATCCCGAGGCCAGCATGAAGCTCTCCGAGTTTGGGGGTTCGTACAGAAAAGCGAGCTCGTGCAAAGCCGATCACCGGGCTATGGCACCGGTGCTGTCCAAGCAAGGCAGGGAAGCAGCAGAGAGTTTCGTGAAGTCGGTGTTCCCAACAAAGAAGGCGTTGGATCTGTCCAGTTTGAAAGATGGGGCCAACTTCTCGAACAACATGTGGTACTGGGGCTTCGATGCGAAGATGAGTGGAGGCTACCTTGCCCCCAATGCTGCTGCAATGATCCGTGTGGTGGCCATGGGCTCCGTGAGCATGGTGGCTTTCGATCTCAGCCGTGCTGTGCCTTGCATGGGGAAGACGGACCCGACCTTGCAGGAAGTGGCAGACTTCCTCACGTCCCTCAATGAGGTGTTGAAGGATGACAAGGGTGACGTCATCGGTTTTGCAACCACCATCACCCAGGACGACATCGTCTTTGTGCCACAAGGCTGGTTCTTGGCCGAACAGGTGACCACAACTTCCCTGACGTACGGGGTCCGAAAATCGTTCCTGCTCGACACGCCAAAGTCGGCGGCAAGCTACAGAGTGGCCGTGCAGCTCATGAAAAACTCAAGCCGAGACACAGCCCGAATGGATGAGGTGGCCAATTTGTTTTCCGCACAGCCCAGTCAGCTAAGAGCTGGCGCTGGGGCTAGTGCTCAGGACCAGGGCAATGAGTCGGCTGTAGCTCAGGCTGCGGCCCAGGCTCCGGCTGCTACTGGCAGCACAGTTTGAAGGAACTGTGCTGCAGGGTCGAGGGGGTGCCGGGGCAAGCATTCGCTGAAGAACGAATGCTTTCTTTTGCCTTGTGCCATTCTGTTCATGTCTTTTGGGGGGGCTTGTGCTGCCCATGCTACAATGTTTCGAACAATGGGTATCACCGTAGCATAGTGGTTTCCACATTTGAACTTTGAACGCTTCAGCCATTCAGTGCAGCACGCGGGGCCCCGTGGGGACACTACTTTTGTCACATTCCTCCATGTCATGTGCAGCTTTGAAGCTTTGCAGCCTGCACGTGAGCCAACTCGATGAGCTTCAGTCGCGCAAATCCAGTGAAAGGTCTTGTCATTTCTCCGGCCATGTGGGATTCCCGTTTCTCAATCTTGAGACTCAAGCCCGCATCCTAGAAGAGAGAGGGTCACTAGAATCCCAAACCCAAGCCCGAAACCCCAGAAGATTCTGACCCTTGAATTCTTAACCCCGACAGCCCTAAAGCCTTTCGTTCTGAATCTTCAAGCGTTGGTGTCCGGATCATCTGGGGCAAACATGCTGCAATGCAGCGTGCTGAAACACACAGATTCGACATGTTATCGACTTCCAAACGGTACCGCCCAGGCCCAATTTTTTTCTCCACCCTTCAGTTTTGAGAAATCATTCCATTTTTGAGTGTTTTATGGATGCCAAGTTTTGTTTTGCGCGAGTGTTAAGGTGTAGGACCATGGAGCACTCAGAAGTCAGACAAGAAGACAGGTTTTGTTTTAGCGTTGTGTCCCAGTAACGTCCTCCAAGAGGAGTATCCCTACAGAACAAAAGACAAGAAACAAACTCCAGGCTACAGTCAGGGCATACCCAGATATGGGCCCCAAGGCTAAGAACACGACAGGCAAGTTAGCAGCTGGTCCGACCACCCCACCCGCGTCTTCTTGCGCTGGTCTTCTGGATTGCTGGCCGCGGAAGGAGAAGGCGGCGATGAACGCGCCAAGCTGACCACAAAGCGGGCGCCAGCATCGGCCCAAAGGCTCCAGGGTCGGCACGGCAAACGCGACGTGAAGCAAACGCAGAAAATCCTCTACTCCATGCCCCCCTCGCTCTGTCTGGAAATTGGGGAAATTGCCAAAAGCCAACATGCGGCGCACGGATTGCGGTGCGCGAATGGCGTCGTGTTCCTGAGCCGTTCCGCAGCCGCTTCCGCTGCAGCACCTCGGCCGGGTTCGGCAGCCCCACGTCCGCGCGATGACGGGCGCCGCAGCCAGCCACCTCAGTGGCCCTGTTCGTCCGCCCTCGGGCGCCCGGCAGTACCAGGTGCTCCCGCTTCGCCCGCAGCGCAAGCCGCGTTGGCTCCAGTGCCGCGAGGCAGCTCCAGAGGCGGGCGGGTGCAGCGCGGGCCTCCGCTGGCCCAGGCAGCGCCTCCGCACAGAGCCGCCCGTGCGCCTTGCAGCGGTGGAAGCCGGGCTGCGAGGAGCTGCCGCAGCCAGGGTGGGCGCACCACACGCCGCCGTGGCGGATGCGCCAGCGCCTCGGAGACTGCAGGCAGCACGTGCTGGCAGCGGGGGCCGCCACTGTGCGGCGCTGCGTCCAGGCCGCCCCTGGCCCTGGTGCCGCAGGCGACGCCCTCCGGCGAGACGAAGCTGCAGGTGGGCGCCATGCCTTTCGCGTGGTTTAAGTCGGAGCAAAAAGAACTGGAACCGCGGCGCCGCAGGGCAATGTCAAAAGTCAAACGTCAAAAAGGTCCAAGGATGCATTCATTAAGGCTTGGATGGAATCCCACTCAACTTGATTAGTGATGAGTAATTGGCTTCCACATGCAAGATGGAACCGACACTTAATCACGAATCATTGATCAAGTGACACGGGATTCGCTGCAGGCTTCAGTGGAA